TTTTTTAATTTTTATTAATACAAAATATGATAAATATTTATCAAATGTAAAAAATAGTTTTTATTATTACTAATAAATTGCAAGTTATTCTTTTTCAAACATTTACATTATCTAAATTAATGCTAATTAATTCCAAGTATTTTCATAACCAGTAATAAAATCATCATATATGGTATCTTCAAACACCGCATCATCACCTAAATTATCATTTTCATTTTTTAGAAGATCATAATCAAAAATAAAATCATCTTCTGTACCATCTTTTGTTACAGAAATACCACAACATTTGAAGGATTTTTTGATTTTTTCAACATTAATGCTATCCCAAGCAACCTTAACCCATTGTGCTACTTTATTATAAGTAGGCCTTTTAATTCTTCCAGCAGAAGTAAGTTCATGAACTTCTTCAGACATCCATTCATTATATAATTTGCAAATCTAATAAAACAATAAAATTATTAAATAAAATTAAATTTTAAAAAAATAATCATAAAAAAAAATTTACCTTAGATTTAAATATTTTATTGATTCTCACATCTAATAGTTGAAGTCTACCAGCTAATCCTTCAGGAATTACTGTAATATTTGTTTGTTTTTCATCAAGTCTATTTTTAATACTATTATCAAATGATCATGAAAAGAATCAAATATCAAAAGACTTTTTGGATTATTATTTGTACAGTCGCATCACAAAGTAACGCCCGATTTTTAATGTGTAACGTTATACAGTATTTATTGCCATCCTTATCCATATTTTGATCCAAACTTTTTCATCTATTTGTTTTTTTGAGACTACATAATATTTTTCATGTAGTTAAAAATGACTTCTACACATACCGAAATGACTTCTCATGATAAGGGAAAATATTAGCATATATGGAAAGTCTAAATCCTGTTCAAATAGCAAAAAAAATGGGTCGGAACCCAACCACAATACGCAGATTTATTACCAAATACCAGAAAACTGGAAATATTGAAAATTTACCATGCTCTGGACATCCTCCTGCTCTTAATAATAATGAAAAAAATGCACTTTTTAATGAAATTTCAAAAAAACGACATGCACCTTTGCACGAAATTGTCAATACACTTGGGTTAAACTGTGGCTTAACAACTGTTAAAAAACCCTATATAATTTTGGAATTCATTCTCATGTTGCTGCAAAGAAGCCTGTTATTTCAGAAAAGCATGCAATGGCCCGTGTTAACTGGTGTGAAAAATATAAGGAAAAAAGTGTCTATGATTGGGCA